TTAAGATTATTTCGTACACTGAATAACTTTCAAAAATATTTCAGAATTGCTTGTTTTCATTTAATTTTTGATTGTGTTACAATTTAATTTCAATTAATCAATCTAGACAACAATGTATCTTGTGTGAAACTTTTTGATTATCAGTCTTGCGTCAATTTAATTAGATATTTTATTATTTCGTTAGGTGCTCAACCGTTAAATATCATTTAGACCACCACGAAAATACTTATTACAATTTTATTGCATTCAGGAATGCTTACAAAAGGGAATTCCAATGTATACAGCGGAACCTCTTGGCCGATTTTAATTCTGATCGGGGTGGTACATTGTTAGATCAGAGGTAGGGAACTTGTGAAACGATTATAGTTTTTGTATAGTTTTATCAATTCCAGATGACTTAATGTTAGGGTCATGAATGTCCACTAGAGTTGCAACACTGTAGTTCTGTAATTCGTGTTATGTTTAGTAAATGGTAACACGTTATTTACCTAATTCTGTTAATTTTTTTAAAATGTTGTGATTTCTACCATTAAATGTTAATTAAAAAACAGAGATTTCTTAATGAAGGTCGCATAAGAAACTCACGGAGACCGCACGTTCCTTACCACTGTAACAGACCCTTATTTAGCATCTCGAAGATACCGGTTCAATTGTTATTTCTTCTGCCCTGGTTCAATTTTTTCCGACTATTTAGGAAAATGTTTGGTGGTTATTTCACAGGTGATGCTTCATTCTTTTATTGACTTCATTTTATCTTTTCTTCCCAGTCACTGCCTACTCGTTTACACAATTCCTGAAAGGAGACTTAAGACCACTAGCATTTGTAGCTGCTAGGATTGAAACACAAAACCTTTTTTTCCTGGTTTTACTATTTGGCGATAGTTCTTCTGCTGACCAGACATTACAGAGATTCTCCAAGTTTTAGCATTACAAACATTGGCATTGACAAAATGGATATAATTGTTCGGATAACTGATAGAAGCAAAAGGTGAAAGTTGTGTACTGTCGTTATGAATTTAATTAATAACATATTGTGTAAGTAGTGCTTAACCTTGCAAATTAAAGAGATTGCTTAATTAATTGTCAACATTATTTGAACTAACAAAACAGTAAGCGGTACATTATACACCATTTGGGCTAAAGTGGTCCTTATGCTTATAGAAGCTTCGCTTGCTTTTTGTAACATAAAATTTTGACTCACACGCATTTCATTTTATTTCCCATTCTGTAATGAAAACATTTACGTGCAGAGCCAGTAATTTTAATAATAAAAGAACAAAAACAGTAGTGATGAGCAAAGCAAGACCAATATTAAGACTGGGATAATCTTGGTTTTGCATATTTGGTCTTGGTTTTGGTTTTGTAAATATAGTCTAGGTTTTAGTTTTGGCTTTGCTTGTTTAATGATATTTCCATTTTTTTTATAATCCTTCTAAGCACAAATTTTTCTATTTACCGACACAATCGTTGTCTTAAATGCTGAAATTTTCTATCATAAATGCAAACTTTTACAGAAAATAGTATTGATAGTTGTGAGAGTTATGAAAATTCGAGAACTTACTGTTCCTCCAATTCATAGATTTACCCTTCCTTCAATGCATAAGTTGACAACAAACGAACAGTGGTACAATTTCTTTTTTTTATATTTAGTATTAAAATCTAGTAAAGCAACCTAAAAAATTCAAATATTAAAATTTGTGGTTTTAAGAAAAGAATATATTAAATCTGCTTCAAATAATTTAACTTATAAATCCACAAGAAATAATAATTTTTCGTTTAGTCTTGCGTATTTGGTCTTGGTCTAGTATATTCGGTCTTAGTCTTGTTAGCTCGGTCTTAGTTTTGCTAATATAAAGACAGGCTAATCAAAGTCTCTATGTCCATAAAAGTTGTTTCGAATTTCGAATATAAATAGCGATAAATTTTTGCTTACAATTAGTAGTTATGAACTACTTCAAAAGTCGTAATTATATTTACAAATTAGGTTATTAATGTTAAATGAAGTAGGTTAACTATACATGTTTGATGATTTATAAAAATGCACTTTTTAATGTTTTCTGTTTGTTTTCAAAAAAACTTTTTGATAATGAACATTGCATACTCTATCAATTATTGGATTTGGTTTTATTTTTGAGTTGATTTAATTATTCAAATTATATTATGGTTCCTTCCTGTGAATATTCAAAATTTTTGTTGTGTGAATTAGCTTATTGCTGTGAAGTACTATTCAAGAATTAATTTTAAGCAGTCTTTTTATAGATCTTGATTGTTTTTAATCCAAATTTATAAAATCTCATAACCGAAAGGTTCGCTCAGTAACGAAAGATAATAGATGAATAAACAAAATTATTTTGTAGTGTTAAATGATAACATAGGTAGAATTATTATAAGCAATGTGTATGTTTATTAAGCTTATCATTAAATATTTTACATCCGGACAAATTAATTTTCTTGAATAGTCACGATTCGCCGTTTCTTTAGAATTATCCATTGTGTGTCAGGGTATAAAAACCGATTTAATATATCGTGGGGGTTACAAACGCTTTTTCTTTGTAAAAATTTATCTTTCAATTCATCGCTGCTGTATTCTGTAACCAATTTAATCTATTATGGAAACTTTAAATTTTGATATAAGTTATTACAGAACAGTTTAACAACAACTTCTTATTATAATAATAATAATGAAAAATAGTTAAATGGTTAAAAATATACTTCATGTTATTATAATATGTTATTCCCA